TTTTTTTTTACCTCTCTCTCTCTCTCTCTCTCTCTCTCTCTCTCTCTCTAAGTACAGTGATTGCTGGTGACCGTCTTTAGTTTTGTAGGTATTTGGTCATAAACAAAAGTATAGTATCTAAAATTGTGATCTAATGATGGCGCTAGATGAAAAGTCAGGAGATCAGCAAAGTTCATCCCCTGGGGACCATGTATTTCTTTACAACATACAATGGCAATCCATCTAATAGTTGTTGAGATATTACAGTTTGGACCAAAGTGGTGGGACAGCCAAATGACTGACAGATCAACATTGCAATCGTTGCCAGAGCAAGAGCAGCCCTCCTTTAGCTGCTTGTTTTGTAGGGACTTGACATCCAGTCAAGACTGTACTGTTACGAAAGATAATAGCACAGCAAAACCAGTTAAGTCAGATAATAAAACTGACATTTGGTATACACAAATCAGAGCCAACAGTGGAACAATTATGGCTCAGTATTTTGACGCCTAGACTTATGAGTCACACCTTAAATTAATTTTCTGTGTGAGTTACATGTATTAAAGAAGCTATATTATGCTTTTTTGAGTTTTCCCTGTGCTTTTTTGTGTTATATAGCTTTTTGTGCATGTAAAAGGTCTGCAGTAACCCATACAAAAGGCATTAGCTACTGCCACCATCTGAGAAAGTAAACTAACTTTATTTTAAACTTTATTTTGTTTTACTGTTTATTATATAGGTAAACCTGTGGGTAGCAAGCTGGGCGACGTTGGACAAATGATGTAATATTGAGTGACAGTAAAGAGAAACTATGTGAATTATGCTTCATTTGAAGCTAAATATAACAAGAGTAGTAGGTTGGGTGCTGGTAACAGTTTTTTTTATGTTGCTTTTTGTATAACTTCATACTGCAGCACTAGTATTAGCTCAGCTATCCACACTGCTAATGTTATGTGTGTATGTTGCTGCTGTATTTAAATCCACTTGATAGAAATGCGAGGTGAGAAGAAAGCGGAAACACAGTGGACAGTGCCTGCTTAGGCTCGTGGGAGCTGATCATTTGGAGCAGACTGGGCTACTTTCCTTAAGGTCTCCTGAAAACAGTGTATCAGACAGAGGTTGAATAGAGGTTTTGCAGCAATGTCCAATATGACATAAATGAGGTGTTTTTTGAACATTAAGGCATGCAAATCTATTATAGTAGACCCAGTATAAACCAGAAAATTAGCATAATATGGCCTCTTTAACTGGATCCGGATAAAGTGATGATGGAGGATTCACGCAACAAGAGTGATTAACCATTTGAATTAAGTTGAATATTTTCTATATCTACTGCCTTCTTGCAACAGCATCTTCGGTATTTCAAAACGGTATATCGCCCCAATATTTATTTAATGAGTCATAAAATAATGTGAGCTGCGGCAACATTAGAGGGGTGTTCTTTCTATCGTGCTATACTGTTCACAAACAATCTCAGAATCAATACTATGCAGCATGTCAGCATTTATACACAGGACTGTGGAAAATGGTATGACTTTCATGTTGTATAGGAGTGCTGTGACACCATGAATGAACTCTAAAATCAAGCGTGGATCAAACAATATGTGCATTTCCAACTGACTGCTTTCCCATGACTCCCTCTGGACTCAGACACTTCCACACAGCCATCTAGAAACTTTGATCTCCAGAAGCAGTGAGGGAGGTCTGCGTTTGAACATGGCTGTGCACTTTGACTGACCTGTCCCTCTTACACCTACACACATCCATGCATGGAATTCACAACAACTCAGGGCTGGACTCCCCGGACCTTCTCTTGTCAACCCCTTTTTTCTAATGAGAAGAAAATGAAAGAAATAGGGCTATGAGTGAATGTTTTTGGTGAGACTGGGGATGTGTGATGAAAAGAGCGCAGGTTTGGAGGGAAACAGGCGGTGGAGGGAGAAGTGATGAGCCCATATACTGGCCCTTTATATCGTTTCTGTGAAAACAGATGTTTCCTTGTCCAGCCTGTGTGTTGGCTTACACTACTGATTGAGCAAGTTATTTCTGTCACTGGCTGGCTGCAAATAATCTCTGTGGGACAGGCTGCCAGGTCATATTGAGACATTAGCTTGATTGCAAATGTCCGAATGAGATTAAAATCACCCAGACAGGGAAGAAATAAATTAAAAGTTGCAAGACAACATGACCTTGATCTGTGAGGAAATTCTGCTAATGACAAGAGCCATGAACATAAAATCCACACACGCGCAACACCTTTCACTCACCAACCCACACTACTCTGAATCAACGTACAGGGGTGCTGGTCTTTCCAGTGAGAATGGTTCGAGCCTTGGCCTTGTTCATGTTGAAGTTCTTGAGGTAGGCCTCATAAATCTGCCTGGCCAGCGTCTTCTGGTCGGCTAGCTGGGGGTCTTCCACTTCCCTGTCCCCCGTTACCATCTCTGCCTTCAGCTTTAGCTTCTCTGACTGGGGCATCCGGCCAAAACGGATAGCTGAAGAGAGCAGAACAGACAGAAAGTTATATTAAGATTACAGAATTTATGGCAATATAAATGTTTCAATTCACAGATTCAATTTACAGTGCAACAGAAATGGCCGAAAACGAAATTCAGTTAAATAGAATTATTATAAAGCCCATTCAATAAAACACAGAGAAAAGTACTTGATAAGACAAAAAGAGAGAATGCAGAGTGCTTTAAAATAAACCCAGTTTTGAAAAAATGTGAAAGAGCTTGACGTCCACAAAACCCCAACAATCACTTATTCTTGACGCTGACTGGAGGAATCATTTTAACATATTAAGTAAAATGAATCCAAGACAAGTTGTCAGCAGAGAAAAAAAACTACATTAGATGTATCCAAAAAACTTATAGGGTAGTAGCAATAAAATGTTCAAAAATAGCACCACTGAAAATAGAGAAAAAGCTAAGCACAGGCTATTTAATATCTTACTGTGCTCACTGTTGAAATCTGATGCCAAAGCCTTATTTCTACCAACCTATGGATCTGACATCTTGAATCTCAAAATCTAACATTAAAAACATAATGTCATGATCAGCAAAAGTCTAAGGGTTGGCCATGGCCATAGTCTAAAGCCCCCCGACATGGCACCATCTTTTTTTTCTCGTGCAAAAAGAATTCTCTACTGGGGACACCAGCGCACTCATCTGGTTGTACTGCACGTCCCCCACGTCCCTCTACGGTCAACTCAGTCACTGCTGTACTCTGAAGGGAGATAAAACATGTTTTTTTTGTGTCCAGTGAAACTGAAATCAATCCTGGCAAAACAATTACCAGAAAGCAGTTTTACTGACAGTGGTTCATTAACTGATGTATTTTAGTGAAGGATGGGTTTGAATGGAAGGCATAAACTAACTATTGGCTGCACACACAGCACAACGATTTGTTTTCTCTGGATAGGAACAGAGACAGAGAAACCCAACTTCAGCAGAGATTCAAGTACAAGCTCCAAAAGTACTGAAAGCTGATAATAATATAAATACTGTTAAATCACAAGTCTCCTCCCTGCCTGCATCTCTGCCACTCCTCTCCAAGTCCCCAAGATTATAGCACCAACCTTCAGATCCGTTTTCCCTCCAAACCATACCAAGAAGAACAAAGAGAACCTACTGTGAGTTTAAAATGGACTTTTTCACCTTCAAAATGATTGATTTGGTTAATGTGTTACATATTGTTTGAAGTTAACAATTGGTTTTGTGTTTATAATGCTATATTCTAGAAAGGATTCTATGTTAAGAAAAGAGAGATAAAGAGAAGGCCAGAAGAAGACAACAGGAATGGAAGCAAAAACAATTCAACAAAAAATGTTTTTTTATGCATTACAGCAATTTATGAATGTGTTGGAAGCTTATAGTCCACACTAGACTAGAGTTGTTTTTCTACGAGAGGATGCTGGCATCTCTCTGACGGCCTGATCCCATTTGACTAATGAGATTAGAGGTGAGCTGCTTTAACGCCTGCTCACCAATTTAAATAGGAACAAGCTGATGCGTGCACGTGCACACACACACACGCACACAAATCTCTGACAACCCAACATGCAGCTGCATCTACCACCTGCATTTACGAGACTATAAAAGCATAAAAGGTTTTCCAACGAGCCACCCACTGTTGAAACTAATCCAGGCCAACGGAGGTACTGAACTAACAGACAACACGAGGGCCCGTTAGATTTCCGCTCACAAAGTGGATGGATCATCTGAAGTTGGTAAAGCTCCACAGTGGGCGTCTGGGCAGGAGCCAAGTCTAATTAAGATGAGAGTAAGTGAGTGATGTTAAGCTGATCATAAGTCAATTTCTTAAGAACCCGTGTGAGGGGATGAGTCTGTGGCTCGAGTGGGAAAGGGTGCTAAAGGTGGGAGGGGGACAGTCTGTCGTTCCATTAAATCATCTGTTATAACAGCTGATTTGTGGAATTTTTTTGCCATTAAACACCTCTTTCACCACACAAACTTACTATTGCTGCTGTTTATTACAGTGCATTTTGTTGGTACATGAGATCTGAGGTATCTTTAAGTTGCTGGATTCAAGAAACTTTAGGGTTCTGTGATGACAGCACTTTGCTGCTTTTGCAACAGCAAGAAAGGGATGTTGACAGTTTATTCCAGAAAAGAAGTCAAGACCAAACAACAACGCAAACACAGTTCACTGCTTTATTGTAAACCATAGAACTTTAATGGGTAAATTTCACATAGATAAAACAAAAACTCCTCTGCTGATGCATGCATGTTGATAGCCTACATTTCAATTGAAAAAAGGTAAAACTGCTAAACCTTTTTAATGAGGAACGCCCAGTATCTGAGCCTTAACTGTGAAATCAATTGGCAGTCGATACAAACATAGGGACAAAGCTCTAAACATAGCAGTACTGTGGTCCTGTATTCTCTTAGACCATCAGACCTCAAATGATCAGGTTGCACTGGTCTCAAATCTCCTTCCTCCCCCTCTACGGTTACATTTAGGCCAATGAAACTCAATACACATATACCGTAAGAGGAAGTGCAGCTGACAGAAATACTACTACTGCTCAGCTTTAGGGCACTACTGCATCATCATTAAAATCTGGGCTATGTATTAAGGAAGCCTCATCAATAACCCCGTGGGACAAAATGAAGACGCTCAGTTCAGCCACTGCATCCACAAGTTCAATGCAGTCAGTATGGAATTTCTGCAAAGTGTGCACAGTCTATATGTGAACTCACTGATTGCCCTGACCTTTTTGATCCTTCTACTAAAAATACACTGACAGGCGAGAAAAAAAACACCCCAGCACACCCATACGAACACCTATATACACACATCCTCTGCAAAATATGTTTCAGGGATTTCCCCCCCCCCCAATCAGGACATTGAACTTTGTCAAGGGTCAGCATGCCATGTCATATGTTTACACAGAGTAAACAATATTCACCAGAACCTCATGCTTTAACCTCATGCTTAACCTCTATATTTCTGTATTTCTTTGTAAAGATAAGCAAGTACGGAGGTAAACATCTGATCTAAGGCTTTAAAAAAAGACAATATTGTGTTTAGAGTGTTCACAGATGTTGCATGTGCAGATGTTTTCTCTGTGACAGTCAAGACTGAGAAACCAAAATTTGTGATCAGACTGTGAAAGCATGCACTGGATTAATAATCACAAAATATTAGTAGCATTTTTCTTCGCACTTTGATTTTGCACTCAGAGTGAGAGGGCCTTTTAAGAGAAAAAAAAAATTATCAAAAAATGAATTCTTAATGGTTTTACAAAATGATGTAATGTTATGGGAATAAAGTCGCAATTTCCGACATTTTATAAATAAATTTACAACTTATTTTACATTATATTCTTCTTACAGAATCACAACTTTTCTGAAAATATACATATAAAAACATTTTTTTATTTTTTACATTTTTTTCACCAATAAACACAATGTACACTGTAAAGTACAACTTTTTTCTTTGAGGCCACAAAATAAATACAAATTCAATGTAATTAATTAGCAACATTTTGGATTAATTTTCAGATTGGTCTGTGCAGCAAAGCAGACTGTTAGTGTGCTCTATAGGTTTTTGCTGATTGGAAATCACATAATCAGGTGGATAGACTCGATTGGTCATGTGATTTCCCTTCTGGTTCACATATCTGCTCCAAAAGGGTTCAGCTATTGCAAACTCTGCAGCATGCACAGACACAGACTGACCATGTATTGTGCATGAATGAGTCCAAAAGTACATTTTGAAGAAGCCGTCTAATAGCCAGGATTAGTTTTCAGTTAGTGACTTGCCTTAACATGCAACTTAACACCCAGCTGTGGTGTTAGATTACTTCTTTGTGCTAATAATGTGTGTATGCACCTCTTCAATCTTTCTTGGGATCTGTTCAAACTGTGGTACTCTGTTAAGTAGCATGTACTTGCAAGTAACAAGAACCATGCGTGTGTGTGCATGTGTGTGTACATTTGAAGCACTGCCCAGAACTGCCCCGCCCTGTAGGACTCACCGTTGTGGGACATGCCCACCGACAGGCACTTCTGGAAGCGGCAGTATTGGCACTTGTTGCGGTTCTTCTTTTGGATCTTGCAGCGGCGCTCACACTTGTCATACTCCAGCTTCAGACGAATTGTTCGACGAAAAAAACCCTGGAGGAATGAGGGGGAAAACATGGTAGAAAACAATTTTTTACAATGTTACTGCTCATATTTTGACATTTAATTTCATTTGAATGAATGAAACATGAACACCACAGATCAATTAGTCAGTCAATAAAAGATACATTCCTAGAAGAAATACACAAGCTAATGAAACCTGAACTAGTAGTGAATTACTTTATAATAATGTCTGCTGTTATGAAACCAGTTTCAGGATCCAGAAAAAAAAACTATTGACCAATTCTTTATGAAGAAAGTAGCCATTAGAAAAGCAGTTATTTATTCTCGGATGAATGGTGCCTGACAATATTAGATACATAGTTACACCATCAGCTTCTCCTCGCTTACACAACCTTGACAAAAAGAAATATTAACGTTGGCGAGGAACAGATGGACCAAGTGGCATGCTGGCCGAAGGGTAGAAAATGTCCTGGGGAATTGCTTAATAACCTATTCAGCCATTCCTAATAGCAAATTGCAATTTCATCCAAAACTGTCACCCAGTGTGCCAAAATACATATACAGGCCAATGTAGTATAGTTGTACAATACAAGATGACACAGACATGCCATGTTGTTAAGTAACTCTGACTCTCACCCACTAACCTCCAATGTCATGTGCCGAACACACACACACCCTAACCCTACACACGTAAAACAAAGGTGATATATGGCTCAGACAGAATTGGAGTTCAGTGGGCTTTATGTCGATGCTGCTTGTGTCCACTGTCGTAAAGGATCAGTGACATCACAGAGGTCAGCCTCCTCCTATTACTGTCACAGGCAGAGTGGGGGGTGTACACATATGCACGTGAGATGGTGAGTATGTGTGTGAGTGTGTGCATGTGCATTCTAAACAAGAATATTTGCTGACAAGAAAAATGCTGAATTTAGCTGACCCAGCTAATGTTGCAGGAAAGGGTCTCACCATGACCCTTCAGCACTTCATAGGTCCCTTCTGATGTTTGCACTTTCAGTGACCCCCTCCTAAAGGTAGACGTTAAGCTAAACAAACCTTGCTTTTTGCGATAACCTGTTTTATTGTTTTACAGCCCTACAACTTCACCCTACATAGGTCACATAACTTTGACTCTGCCCTGCAGATCAATCAAGGCTTTTGTCCATCGTAGACACATACAGTGTAGATACACTATTGCATGAACACAGACTCATACTTCAGTGAGCTGCTGTTCCGATGTGAATGTTTATATAACAGAATGTTGACATGATGGAGTTACTGAGTTTATGTATCACTTCCTGGCATTTATACTCCCACTGTTATCCCACTGGATTGACAGTGTGGAGGTGTAGAAAAGTATCTTGCTGCAGTAGCTGCTTTCCCTTCAAAGAAAAAAATATACAAAAGAATATTGAATACTGAAGGCTGAAAAACACATTCACACACACCTCAAGTTACACTATCTTTGTCCTTCGGTGCCTTTTAAAAAACAGCCTTGGGTTGTTCTTCAACAGGACTGGTAAACAATTAACAGAAAGATTATTGAGCGACCACGTGCGAAGGCTGAGACTGTTATTTCTGATGCTTTTAGGAGTTATCATTAGTCATAAGACACACTGCCTCTGGGTCTCTGGCCTGGTGTGTCCTACTTTCTTCAGTGTTACACTTTCAAATATGATTTACTGTCTT